GATTCAAGAGACGGGAGACGAACATAGTCCGTAGAACAGAAGCTGTGCTCTCTGTCCCGCCGAGAAAAAAGCAGAGTGGGAAACTGCTCACACACAACAAGTCACCTGCCGCGACTCCCTTGCTGCGGAAGGGACACGGCAACCTCGCGAGGCAGCCTCCGACAGCGCCACAGAAGAAAAGACGAGAAGAAAAAGCACAGAGTCAACAACTGAGGACAAAGAAAAGAATAATATACATAAAAGATAGGAGTCCTGAAGCAGTCGACCTCAGAGGGTCATACGATTTACGAACCACAGCTCAGGAGGAAGACGAAGAGGAAAACTGTGCGATAGAAATGTCAGAAGAAGTACAACACGAAAGAATGCAAGAACGAGGAGAAGGTGACAACAGTGACGGTCACCATAATGTCGATGCAGAGGAGAGCGATCTGGAGGGAGAAGAGGCAGAGGGAGAGGACAGATCCGAGGAGGGTGGAGAGGCAGAGGAAGGCAACAATGAAGACGAAGAAAGAGAGATTACATCTGCTGAGAACAGTGCACAATGCGGAACTGATGAGAAAAAGGGAGGCGCACCGGAGACTTCATCGAACGACAAACAAATTGTGGGGAGGGAGAATGTACCGCTACAAGGTAAGATGAAGGGCGCCTTATAAAGACACCACTATCTATGCAAAGCACAGTCGTTGTTGCATGCCGCAGAAACGACGAGGTTCACGGGGGGGAGGGGGGGAAGGGGAGGGGGCCGTTGGAAGGGGGTCTTTATGAGAGGTGTTACGAAGTGTATTTGGAGAAGGGTATGGTAGGGGAGTTGACGGTCTTATGTTTGTTTGTGATTGCAACACATAGAACACGTATCGCGGAGAGTCTTCTTATTACTAAATCAATAATTTGTTATTATTTTTGTATTTTTTTTCCAGATTACACCAATTTGCGTAGGCGAAGCAGCATCGGTGGAGGCAATGCTGGCGAACCAACAGAGCAACAAACTGGGGGTTTTACAAAGAAAATGAAAGACAGACTGTTTCATTCGGTGGCAAAGGCCTTTGCTTTTTTTGCAGCAAAGGATACCACGCTGTACCCAACGGAGGACATTTTTTTCACGGCACTGCAAACAACTGCGAAATCGATAGGAGAAGATGTGGAGGAAGGACTACGGTTGCACGTGGTAACGTAAGGAATCCGAGCAGTGATCAGGGAATGCAATCGGATTATGACAACGGTCCGCGGCGAGATATCTTGGCAATTGAGACATTGGTTTTTGGCCGAAAAAGGTTTGTCGCTGGTCCGGTCGGCCCAAACGGACCACCAGCTTCCGACTCGCAACAGGATGCGGGCAGAGATGAAAGGGAACACAACATGGAGAAGGAGCGGCGATGATCCATGGGGCGCCCCTCCTTTCAAGACGACACTGACAAAAGTTTTTCAAATGAGAAGGGATGGCATCAACCTCGGTGTAACGTTGCAGCAACTTGCATTTGCGGAACTGGTACTGAAAACTGAAGTCGAACAGACGGCAAAGACCAGCAAGGCAGCGGACCAAATACAAAAACTTGCAACTATCAAGAAAGAGATTGCTGTGTCGCTCCGCTCCCGAGACACCATTTTAAGTTTTTCTGTCTTCAAGCTCGACCGTGCTGTTTCTGTTGCAGAGAAGGCCGTTGCATTGTACAGAGCCGGGTTGCCTGCTGTATGGAGGGGAGACGCCAATAACATGACTACCACAGATGATGATTTTGAACTTGAGTTCATTGCGCCCACCGACGACAAACGTGCGGGCGGAGAGAGAAACGAAGAAAGTTTGTGCGCAAGGCCGTGAAAAGGAGAAGAAGGGGTCCGGATGTAGATGGACGGGGGTTGGGGGTGGAACATAGGGAGCAGACAGTGGCAACGGTGTTGTAGGGAACATGAGTTGCACCTCCACTCACAGTCAGTGGCATGACACCAAGCCAATGAGGACCAAAATGTAAAATATGAGAGAGAGAGAGAGAGAGAGAGAGAGAGAGAGAGAGAGAGAGAGAGA